TTTTCAATACAAAATCAAAGTTGAAAGACTAAAAATGTTAATTTCATAATACTCAGAATATTAAATATCCGGAATTTTGAAGTCGAGGGCAAAAAATGTCTCACTCACAAAAAATTGATCAATCTGTCACTTGGTTTTTTTTACCAATTTGTCTAATGAGGTATTTTTTACCAATTTGGCAAAACATCCTATTTTTTTTACCAATCTGGTAATTTGGCCGGGCTAAGTGGCTAACTAAGGCGGAGCAGTATAATAGTAGTAATACTACCACTAACTTTTTTTGGGCCTTCCAATTTTTTGGGCCCTGTGCGGTTGGGCGGCCTAAATCCCTCCTGGGCCGGCCCTGCCTCGAACTAAGTTAAAAAGTGCAATCCACCCCTTATTTAGAGCCCTTAAAAAGTGCAATTCACTCCTTTGTCCGGCCTTCACCAATTGGGGCAGTTACCGGTGTAATTTTTTGATGAAATTCTTTGAGCATCTTATTCATTAAGTCTAGTTTACTCATACCACATTTTAGCTAAAAATGCAATCGAGAAGGCAGTCAAATGAATTTTTGAAGATAAATGTGCAGTTAAACAGCGCAGTACATTTCAGAAAATCATTTCATTGTCTTCCCGGTTGAATATTATCTGAAATTTGGCATGGTAAACTAGATTTAATGAAGAAGATGCTCTAAAAGTTTCATCACAAAAACCAAGCGGGAATAAGATGACGAAGGGAACATGGATTGATTCCGGGGTAACCAGATTTCTGGCAGATCTGACTTAATTACATGAAATTAATTTAATTGAACCTAGCTAATCATTACTAAGTTCTTACCGTTCTCGCGGCGTAGAATACAATAATTTAGGGACCATGCCGATCTCTCATGCGACATGATCCTAAATTATTGCCAAAACGAGCGAGCTTACGGCGCCTTAATCACTTCTAATCTTTAAGCAAACGATTAAGTATATGTAAATGTGTCCTAGAACAAATTAGACATCTCTTAATTCATAATACATTGTATAACTAGCTACCGTGAGTTTGTCTCTTTTCATATTAACAATTTTCCATTATGGCAATTGTAGGATTCGCATAAACAAATGATAGTAGCAGGCATATGAAAGTGTGTTTCACTTTTGTTGTGAAAATCTTTATTTTCTAATCATATGAATGTAAGTTACATTGGTCTATGTTGGACTCTTTTTAGCCATGTAAAATACTAGAACTTTTAAATATGACATGTATATGCATAAATTGTTCATGCAAATATCTATTCATATTTCATATAAGTGCAATGTGGATCATGAGGTTCAAGAATTCCGATTGTCTCAAGTACTCCATCTCCATCATTTTATAGGGCAATATAGAGAGTTAAGAGGAAAAGACATGAAGAGAAAAATTGTGTGAAATAACTCAATAAGTATATTGATCTAGATGAGGTACAATTGACTCAGTGGTGTGACTTCTCTTGCTTTAGTAAACAAGTCTAGAGACTTGCTAATTCCATCCAATTGACTTGTTTTTTTCAAGAAATACACGTGATAAATTAAATACCATGTCATAAGAAACACCACATCTTAACTTGTACACAGTTTAAAATTTGTTAGTTGACTGAATTTTGATCCAAGCGGGAAAGCTGCCTTCAAATCTCTTCAACCGCATGCTGCTTTGGATTTTTCGTCTTCATCATGTCTCTTCTCTCTCTTTCAATTCAGCCAGCTTTAAGAGTACATTTTGCCGTAATACTCCCTCCGTCCCATAAAATTGTTCCGCATTGACTTGGATCGGAGTTTAAGAAAGTGGGAATAAAGTTGAAATGTATGGTTGTGGTTGTGTAAGAAAAAAGTAAATCAATGTGAGTCCCACAAAACTTTCCAAAAGGAGAAATTGAAACAATTTTTTGAGACGGTCCAAAAAGAAAATCGGGAACAATTTTTTGGGACGGAGGGAGTGCCATCTTTTTCTGTTTTCCAATTTGTGATCCAGATTCCATGATTTCTTTAAACTATTCTTTGATTTTAAAAAAATAAGTATATAGAATTCTTAGTAATTTACAGTACTAATGATTATTAGCTTCAGATCTATTTTCGCTCACTGAATCAGAGTTGATGATATTTAAATTCATTTGTTTTATCGTTTTTCTCTTAGAATACTCGATTCTTTTCAATGGAATAATTCTGTTGGGGGGAATTTTCTATTTGTTTTATATTTTATGGGTCACACTCATTGATTATTAGCGAATGCATAAATGTATTCAAGTCATCATAGCGTGTCATAAATTTTATTTTGGTTATGATATCATTGTCAAAATAATTTTTTTAGATTCTTAGTACGGAGTATATGTCAACTAGGGGGGTTTGGTCCAGTTAATCTAACATTAGCTTGACAATTTGAGAAAAGTAATATGATGCGAGTTTTCTCACACTTAAAATAGATTGTAATATAGTGGTGTAAGTACGAGTATCGTCTCCACAGGTACGGACAAAACTAGGGCTGCATAAGAATAACCCGAACCCGCATAACCCACCCGACTCAACCCTATCCGACCCTATTTAATCGGGCATTTGATTTTAAAAAATACTCATGGGTTAAATATGTCTGAACCCGCACCTAATGGGTAGGGTTGCGGAATTAAAATCTGAAACCCGATAGTACCCGACCCGCCCGAAGTTCATTTTACTATTATTATGCTACAATGTTTTCTTGGATAATTTCAATTTAAGACCAATGTGCTCTATCTAGAACTTTATGATATTAGAATTATAATTAAACATTTACAATTTTGACTAGATGACTATTATATATTTATGTTTACTTCTAAATGCACTTCCTTTACGGAAGGATGTTTAATACTAAATTACTACGTAATGCCAAAACGAGCGAGCTTACGGCGCCATAATCGCTTCTAATATCTAAGCAAACGATTAAGTATGTGTTAAGGTGTCCTAGAACAAATTAGATCTCTCTTAATACATACTACATGCAATTGTATAACTAGCTAGTGGCCATCTAGGTTACAAGAGATATCAGTTAAATTATTCAAACACAAATTAAACGGCATTCATGCAATTAAACCAACAAGAATCTAGCCATCAATCATGATTAACCCCTTCATCAATCCCAAATTCCTAATTAAAACTACTCACAATTCATAATTGAAGAATCAACGGAATTGGGATGGATAGAAATAATTGTCATTAATTAAAAAAATTGAACTTACAAAGAATCCCCAAATCTTAGCAATCCAAGGCTTGAAAAGCTCTCCAAATTAGTCCTAGGGTTCATCTCTCTAAGCTCCCCCCTCAAATTAGACAAATTGGGGGCATATTTATAGACTAAACGCGAAAATAGGCTGAATCGCACGACCGCACTGTCGACCGCACACCATGCGGCTGCGCGAAAAAATTAATGTGCCCCGCGTTTCGCTTCGTCCGCACTGCGTGCGGATCCCACACTATACAATAGTGCGAGTACTTCTGAGGGCTATTTCTGGACCGTGCGGTGTGCGGTTTCGGCCGCACATAGAAGTCTAAATTCAGACTTCTTGAATTCTTGCTCTCAGAATCACCCGCGGGGCGTGCAGAACCGACCCACGTGGCGCGCGGAATGCTCTAGAACCATTTTTCTTGCTATTTTCTTCCCCGTTCGCTCCCGAATGCTTCTTTGATCGATCCGAAGGCCGTTTCTTCATCAAATCTACGTCGTGAATCTCCCACTGGCCTCCAAAACTCTCAAATCTCGATCTCTCGAATGGTCTCCAACTCTTCCCGAATGCTTCTCAAGCGCCGGTGCCGGACTCTAAATTCTTGAATTTGACTCCAAACAACACAAAACTCGAACCAACACCTGGTAAACATAACTTGAGCTAAAATTTAGACTTGTAACACCTTAAAGCTAGGAAAACCATCAAAAACCAATCCCAATACGTATCAAATGCGTGTCTAAATACGGACTTATCATAATATAAGCTTACCTCATTAACTAAAGTTTTCAGATAGCCGGGGTACCTTTGATACTTGAAAAATCGGGTAATGTTGGGAAAATCTGATTACTTGGGTATCTTAGATTTACTAAGATTTCTTTGATACAAAGTTATATTTAGATTATTCAATTTTTTTCCTTGACTGCGTAGCATAAGTAATGTCACATTTGTGCATCAAATACTTTAAGATGATCTTTGATTATGTGAACTTATAAGTGCCCCTTTTTGAATGCAGCGCAATTGGAGCTCATCGCCTTCTGATTCTTTTTTTCATTCATTCAAATATAATAGTTTTTTCCCGAATTTTGACTGCCCTTGAATTGAATCCCCTTTTTATTATTCTTCATTCTATTGGCACTTGGGTCTATCATACTTCTGGCCAATGTAATTTCTTCACCGATTATGTATTGCATTTGCTCACATGCAGTACGTATGCTTAAGTTCTACCTATTTATGGTACTTACAACATTGATTTCTTCATTAAACCGATCTCTCTACTCATAATTTATTAAATGACGTGCAGTATGTTGAGCTCCACTTACTTTTTGGTACTTAAACATTGATTATTCATAAAACCACTCTCTTTGCGGATAATTTAGTAGATGACATGCAGTATGCTTGAGTTCTACCTACTTTTTGGTACTTGCAACATTTATTTCTTCATAAAACCAATCTCTCTACTCACAATTTATTAAATGACTGAAGTATGTTGAGCTCTACTTACTTTTTGGTACTTAAACATTGATTATTCATAAAACCACTCTCTTTGCGGATAATTTAGTAGATGACATGCAATATGCTTGAGTTGTGACTTATCTCTTCTATTTACTATGTAGATTTACAAAACTAATCTAATATTTCATTTTTTATTTCATAGATATTTTTTTTTTTTTTTTTTTTTTTTTATGGGGTTAATTTTTATTTTTTTTTATTATTAATCCAGCACACATATGCTCCAGAAAATCATTACACCCACATAAGACACTTAACCCGATACTAAACTGAAATTGAAGATTCAGAATACGATGGACCAGCCAGATAAATCACAGTCAGGTACCGGCCGGCTAGATCATGAACAGACACAATCAGCTACAACCTTTCCCATTATTCGATTAACTGCTTCCTAAAGCTTAATTACTGGTGGCAGAAAATGACTTTCAGCTCACGCGGCGCCGAACACGCGTGCGTCAGCGACGGCACGTCGTGCGCGTACGTGTACGTCGCCGGGCAAGCCTTCTTGAAGAACTCCGAGTGGCTCGACGGCCGGCACGTCTGCGGGCTGTTGAAATGGTTCCTGCAGCAAAGCTCGTCCGTCTTAAACGCTTCGCACCCACTCTTGCAGGCCACCACCGGCCCGTGACCGCCCTGTGACCGGAAGTGAAGCTCCGGCGGGCAAGACTCGACGAGATTCGCCCGGCAGCCGACCACCGGACAGTTGCCTTTCCCTTCGTGGGGGGTGACCGTCAGGGGGAGGTTGAAGCCGTCGACGAGGCTGACAGAGTAGGAGGAGAAGTCACTGTTGCCGTGGTGGAGATCCAGCTGGACGAGAGTCGCCGGAAGGGCGCCGCCGGCGCCGTTGCACTCCAACCGGCCGCCGCAGTCCCCGGTGGCGCATGAGAAGTGGCCGCCGGCGTCTGAGCAGCCGGTTCGAGCCCAGATTCGGCCGGCCCAGTGGGTGTCAGGTGCGTTGAAGGAGCGGTGAGTGAAGGTGGGGAGAGCGAAGCCGCCGCTCTCGAGAACAGGGTAGCCGCCGTTCGGCAGGATGGCCGGCCAGACGGTGTAGGGGCAGTTGTTGACGACAGTGAGGAAGAGAGCAGTGGTGGTGGTTACAGAGAAGGAACAGAGGGTGAGAAGGAGAGAGAGTGAGAGTAAGGTGGTCGGAGCTGCCATGTCCGGCGGAGAAGAGTAGTCGTTTAATTTGCTTAACTAGGTCTTTATTTCATAGATAATAGTTATAGCATATCATCTTCAGAAAATATAGGTTATTTTTCCTGTTAAAAAAGTGATTTTAGCAGACTTTTAAAATATGAAAAATGCAGTTTCAGCAGGGCAATTCTGCATCTAATATAATTTGTGTGTTCATTTCTCTTAAAAAAGATTCAACAAGTGAAAACTTATGTCAAATTTATTCCTTCCCTTTTCCATTGAGAAAATTCAGGGGGAAACAACCACAATTTCCTTCACTTTCTTCTTTTCCAAATTATTTTGGATAAGAGCTTTCAGAAGTAATACAAAATGCAAAAAGAAAACTTTGTTCTCAATTCATTAAGCAAACATTCAAATTTCTTATTCTTTATTATAAGAGTAATCTACTCATCTCACGTTTCCTAATTTGTTTGCAAGAGTGATAATACTTCCAACTCCCAAGGCCTCTTCCAGGACAATAGTATCCATCTCCTTCAGTAGCCCATGCCATATGAAGTTAGGCGAGGTTTATTCTTCAAGAGTGGATAATAAACCCCATCTTTTTGCGAAATTTACTCTTCAAGAGCGGATAATAAAAACTCAATCTCTTGAACTGTAACAAAGAATATATAGTTATACTGTCTATAGAAAATGATGAAAAAAGAGATTTTAAGGATGCTGGCAAAGAATTAGTACACTATTAAAAAAAAGTACACTATTACACGTTTTTATATGGTTTCAGCTTAATTTTATTTCTATATTACATCATTGAAGAATTTATGTACAGTGTTACTCTTTGGAATTCATCAAATGTTTTTATTTATAAATATTTTTTTATTGACCCCATCTCTTCAAACCATCAAAATTTACCCTTTTTGAAGCAAGGTGTTGTATAGTAATTTTACTTTAAAATTTGTTATTACTACTTAATCTAGATAGTCAAAAACAAACATATGGTTATGTCTTTTTTAATCTAAGGCGTACAACTCTGATTCTAATGTTGATTTGTTGTGTGATCCATTAGCACATGTTGAATCAATGATGGTGAATTTTGGTCATTTTGTTTTAAATTATTACATACACAATTTGTGTAAAAAGAACTAAGAACCTTGAGTCATTCTACATTTCTACATACACTACCTTCAACATATGCTGATTTCCAGTGAATGCCTGAATCGATCAGCTCTAACTAAGTTCAAGGCTGTGAAGATTGAATTGTAGCTGTTTTTTTACCGTACATTCTTTTTAGAATGGATTTAATAGTCTGTGACGGTTTTAGTTTTACTTTTCAATACTTTGGAGCAATTTCTATATTAATTTTGAAGGTACATTTACATAGATGTTGGAGCAATTTAAAAATTTTAGATGTTGGAGCAATTTAAAAATTTTAGATGTTGGAGTTCAGTTTTACCCTCTAAATGAATTCAATATTTCAATAATGAGCTTTTATGTTGATTTTTTTTCTTTATTTTCATATTCAAAAGAAGACGAAAACATTTATTAGTTTATTATGAATTTCATAGGCCAGGTATAAATTTTAAATTAAAGGTCATACTGCATCATAGGTGAAAATGCAAAAAACTCCTCTAGTTCCTTTGTGTGAGAGTTGTGTAAGGTATGGATTCCGTCTCCGGCTCAGGTCTTTCAACACACACTCTCACACACCACACTAGGAGGAAGCTATAGCACACACTTTATACTCTCCACTTAGACCTCTCTACACTCACACAAAGGAGGAAGAAAAAGTGAGCTCTCCTCTCTTCACACAAAGGATGATACTCACGCAGGCTACTCTCAAAGGCAAAGGGAGGGTTGACTTTATAATAGGCATCTTGCCTATTAGGCACTCACGGGTGAACAAAGACAAATGGTCACGGGTGATGCAATACAAAGAAACTTCACATGCTACCAAGACAAGAAGTGCAGTGGACAGAAGCAGAGGAGGGGCCAGTCAAGTGGGTAAGTCAAACCACTCAAATAGGTATATATTTGATCAGGATATATACCAAAGAAAAGGTATCCAAGGGAGAATAAAATAGAGTGTGCAAGCCTCAACAAATAAAGTGGAAGGGAGGCCTTGGTAGGACCAATACCTCCAACATTCTCCACCTTATTGGTCCTAGGTGGTGTAGAGTAACAAAACAAAGTTGTGACAAGACTCATCATCGCCGGGTCACCCGGAATATCAACATACACAACGGGCAAACACTTTATTAGGCAACCCACAGTTATCCACAGTCAAAGTTTAACACGCGTTTACAGGACAAGTGCTTCTCAGCAGAAAGACACTTGGTACCCATATCCGCGGGGTTAAACTCGGACGGGATCTTGCACAGCTTGACTCCACCTGCATCAACAATATCACGTATGAAATGGAACCTAACATCAATATGCTTAGTTCTATCATGAAATACAGGATTTTTGCAAAGTTGGATAGCCGATTGGCTATCCGAGAAAATGGTAACTCCCTTTTTGAGAAACCCAATTTCGGAGACAAGGCGTTTGAGCCAGATGGCTTCCTTAAACGCTTCTGTGGCTGCAACATACTCAGACTCAGTGGTAGAAAGGGCCACAATAGGCTGTAGTTGAGACTTCCAACTAATGCAAGAGCCACACAAAGTAAAAACATAAGAAGTGGTCGACTTCCTGTTATCTCTATCATTTGCATAGTTAGAATCAACATAACCAATCAATTCAATACCACTAGCACATTTAGAGAAAATTAATCCATGCTTCACAGTAGAAATCAGATATCTAAGCAACCACTTAAGAGCATTCCAATGAGGCAAACCAGGGTTGGACATATATCTACTCAAGCAACTAACCGCATATGCAATATCAGGTCTAGTGCTAACCATAAGATACATCACCGACCCTATTGCGCTGGAATAAGGCACAGATTTCATTTTCTCAATTTCAGGAGCAGTCTTGGGAGACTGGTCCTTACTTAACACAAAGTGAGATGCCATAGGGACATTAACAGGAGAAGCAGATAACATATTAAATTTACTCAAAACTTTTTCTATGTAAGAAATCTGATTCAAAGTAAGAGTACGCTTACTCCTATCCCTAACAATGTTTATGCCTAGGATCCTCTTGGCATCACCTAGGTCTTTCATGGCAAAATTTGCACAAAGACATTTTTGCACATCTTTAATAGCATTCAGAGAAGGACTAATTATCAGCATGTCATCCACATAGAGTAACAAAAATACAGGCACAGAAGAAGTATTTTTGAAATACAGGCAATGATCAGAAACAGATTTTTGGAACTTCAAAGATATCATGCATTTATCAAATTTGATGTTCCACTGCCTAGGGGATTGCTTCAGGCCATACAATGCCTTCCTAAGCAAACAGACATGCTCACTTCTCTTGGGATCCACAAAGCCCTCAGGCTGGGTCATATAAATTGTTTTATCCAATTCACCATGCAAAAATGCAGTAGTTACATCCATCTGTTTCATTTCCCAGTCATGGTGAGCAACTAAAGCAAGCATCATGCGAATAGTGGTGAATTTAACAACAGGAGCAAAGATTTCTGCATAATCTACCCCCTCTTTTTGAGTAAACCCCTTCGCAACCAACCTAGCCTTAAACCTAACATCACTAGGTTCTTCCTTAACCTTAAACAACCACTTACACTCAACTACCGAACAGTTGGGGGGTCTAGGTACAAGGGTCCAAGTCTGGTTCACTCTCAAAGAGTCCATCTCACTTTTCATGGCACTAATCCATTTCTGAGACTCTTTGGAACCTAAGGCTTCACGGTAGGTCTTGGGTTCATTCAGCTCTAGGGATTCAAACACAGAAAATGCAAACATAAAAGTATCATGCACAATGAAAGCATAATCAGGCATACTATCAGCAGTTCTCCTGATAGCCCTTCTACTCCTATCTCTAGCAAGTTGATAATCATGCAAATTATCACTACTAGGCTCCACATGCAACTCATGCAAATTATTGTTATCATGAAAATCAGATTCAGCACCCATATCATGCAAATCATGCTCAGTATCATGCAAATGCTCCACCTCACTCGAGGTGGTGGGACTATCATGCTCAGAGGAATCAGGATCATGCATAACAATATCATCAGTAATAACAGGATCAACAGACAAAGGACTAGCAGCAACAGGGACAGACTCCACCTCACTAGGAGTACTATCAGACCTAGACTCAGGATCAGAAACAGACTTGGTCAAGCAAGGAAAATCAGTTTCATTAAACACCACATTTCTGCTAAGGACCACTTTAAAGCCTACCTGGTTCCTATCCCATAACCTGTAACCCTTTACCCCCTCTGGATAACCTAGGAAGACACATTTCTTAGACCTAGGATCCAACTTGTCACCCTGTTGGTGTGCATACGCTGCACAACCAAACACCCGAAGGTTAGACAGATCAAGAGGCTTACCGGTAAAGACGGCTTCAGGACACTTACCACCAAGAGGGACAGACGGGGACCTATTAACTAAATAGGCGGCAGTAGTGACTGCTTCACCCCAGAATTTCTTAGACAAACCAGAGGTAGCTAACATGCTTCTAACCTTATCCAACAGAGACCTATTCATTCTCTCTGCTATCCCATTCTGTTGGGGAGTATAAGGCACAGTTTTGTGCCTTTTTATCCCACAATCCACACACAGCTTATCCATCTCCTTATTACAGAACTCTAACCCGTTATCGGTCCTAAGGGTTTTAACCTTCCTGCCAGTTTGGTTTTCAACTAGGGTTTTCCACTCCCTAAACCTCACAAACACATTAGACTTGTGTTCTAAAAGGCAAACCCACACCTTCCTAGAAAAGTCATCAATAATAGAAAGGAAATATTTCCTACCCCCGTGGGTAGGAACACTGGCAGGACCCCAAACATCGGCATGAACATATTCAAGCACAGACGAACATTTAGACAGATTAGGGTAAGAGGAAGGAGGAAAACTGACTCTATGCTGCTTGCCTAACACACATGATTCACAGAAAGGCACAGAAGTCACAGAGTCCTTACCAAAATAACCAGCCCTACGCATGACATCTAAACCCTTATTGCTCATATGTCCTAGCCTATTATGCCTCAAAGAGGTCTTATCAGAACATACAACATTCACATACTCAGCAAAAGGTTTAGCATGACACACATAAAGGTTATTCACCTTCTCAGCTTTAAACAAAACAAGCGAATTCTTCAGGATTTTCATACAACCATTTCCCCATTTTCCCTGTAACCCACCACTCTCCAAAGCAGCAACAGATAACAAGTTATGACACAAATCAGGGACATGCCTCACATTCTTAATGGTAAACACAGAGCCACAAGAAAATTTCAGACATATATCACCAACACCAAGCACATTGCATCTCTTATTATCAGCTAAGGAAACGTAGCCACTATCACATAATTCATAAGTAGAAAACAAATCTCTAAAGGGGGACATGTGATAGGTACAACCAGAGTCAATCAACCATTCATGCTCAGACAGGGAATTTCTCACAGAATTAACATGGTCACAAACCATCAAAATATCACCAAGGTCACATTTATCAACAGCTACACTAGCATGCTCGGTCTTCTTAGGGTGGGGGCAATCCTTAATGAAATGGCCAGTGTTACCACAATTGTAACACACTCTCTTCCTAGATTTACTCCTCTTCCTCCCAGGCTGACTAGCGTTCTTACCCTGACTATTTTGCTTAGGATTCTTAGACCTACCCTTAGATCTACCCCTAACAAACATAGCCTCACCGGAGTCCCTGGACTGACTAGCACTACCCCTAGCATGCTTCAGGTCTAATTCCTTACTCCTTAACCCATTCACCACAATGTCTAATGAAATCTCATCCCTACCGTACTTAATAGCGGACTTAACATCATTATAAGAGTCGGGAATGACATTAAGTAATACTATGGGAGTGTAATCATCTATGTGTTTATCACCTGCCTGTTTGATATTCTGTATCAGTTTATTAAATACATCCAGGTTCTCATCTATATCCTTAGTCAGGTCAAGCCTAAACCTAAAGAATTTCTCTAGTAAGAACAACTTCCCGGGCAAAGAGGTATCAGTATAGAGACTATCCAATTTCTCCCACAACTCCTTAGCGGACTCAAGAATACCCACTTTCCTAAGCACAGAATCAGACAGATTCAAGTAAATAGTAGAACAAGCAGTTTCGTTCATTTCAATTTGCTTAGCCTTATCTTCTGATTCAAGAAAAATACCAGTGACAGCTCTGAAAACTTTTTGCTGTATTAAAACACACTTAATTTTCTGTTTCCAAATATCAAAATCTGTTTTTCCATTAAAAGGGAGCATACCATACTGATTCGCAGCCATGGTATCAACCACAAAAGGAACACAAAGCTAAACAGATAGAAATGACAGAAAATAATCCAACCCGGGTTATAAAGTATTCACTTTAATAACCCCGGGCAGCATGCAACACATAGCAAAAAATGGACATTTTGGCAATTAAACAATTCTGGGCAGAAAATTAAATTTAATTAATTCTACCCCTACCACCCAATAAACCACCCCTACGCATAACAATTAAATTAAATAACACAAAGCAATTTAATTAATTAACTAAAACAGTCTACCACAAAGGAGAAAGTTTAGTACGTACCTGGGGGGTTGGCGGCCGGGATTAAATCAACCGGCGGCCCGCGGGGAGGGGGAATAAATTAAATTAAATTAAAGCCGAGATGCTATAAGTAGTAAGTTTACTGAAAACTTACCTTCGCGAAACCCTAGGAGAGCGTTTCGACCTTACCTACCCAATTTAAAAAATTGGGATTTTTTTTTCTGTAGGGGTTGACTGCCGTTGACCGGCGTTGACCGGCGGCGGTTGACTGGCGTCCAGAAACTCCAGTCCAGGTCAGCAGCTCCAGCCCAAGTCCTGCAACCCCGCTTCAGCCCGGTCCAAAACAGCAGCAGTCCAACAGCTTAATCAGACTGCTCTAGAAGTCCAAGTCAGCAGTCCAAATGTCCAATAGCACTTCAGCAAAGCTCCAGCCCAGAAAGTCAGAAGCCCAAAGAATCAACAGTCCAGCAGCGAACTAAATAAAATAACGAAGAAGTACTCTTCGTCCTTGCCCATCGCGCATGAACAGTCCTGCTTCGTCGCTTCGTCGCTTCGTCCTCTGCGAACAACGACTAACGAGTGCAGGTGATGGCTTCGACGGACGAGCGACGGTTCCAGCCACGAGAAAAACTCCGGCGAACCAGCTCCAGGCGGATGATTCCCGAGTGACGGGACTTACCCTTCCGGCGAGGGTTTCTGATTTTCTGCAATCGGCGACTCCCAGGCAACCGGCAGCTCCAGCGACGAATTCCGGCGAGCTCGATTTCTGCGAACAGAGACCAACGTGGAAGTCAGCAAGCTCGTGCGAACGACAAGCAACCCCAGGGCCCTTCGGCGAGTTCCAATCAACGGCGGGTGGCGGACGGCGGCGGCGGACGGCGGCAGACGGCGGAACCAGTCTCTGATACCACTGTAAGGTATGGATTCCGTCTCCGGCTCAGGTCTTTCAACACACACTCTCACACACCACACTAGGAGGAAGCTATAGCACACACTTTATACTCTCCACTTAGACCTCTCTACACTCACACCAAGGAGGAAGAAGAAGTGAGCTCTGCTCTCTTCACACAAAGGATGATACTCACGCAGGCTACTCTCAAAGGCAAAGGGAGGGTTGACTTTATAATAGGCATCTTGCCTATTAGGCACTCACGGGTGAACAAAGACAAATGGTCACGAGTGATGCAATACAAAGAAACTTCACATGCTACCAAGACAAGAAGTGCAGCGGACAGAAGCAGAGGAGGGGCCAGTCAAGTGGGTAAGTCAAACCACTCAAATAGGTATATATTTGATCAGGATATATACCAAAGAAAAGGTATCCAAGGGAGAATAAAATAGAGTGTGCAAGCCTCAACAAATAAAGTGAAAGGGAGGCCTTGGTAGAACCAATACATCCAACAAGTTGAAACTACGATAGTATGGTCAGTGGTGCCTAACAGAGTAACAGAGAATGTACCAAAGATTTCTCTATTGTTCCTCCAAGAAATAGCTTGTACTGCCTATTGTATGAGACAGTTGAGTGCTTTAATATATAAGGATAATAAGGGACAAATTTAAAGATCTATGCAAACTTTTTATTTCTTATTAGAACTAGAGGCTTGCTTCATCATGCGAAGTACTCGTATGTTTTCCTATTACATGAAACATGAAGCGTATCAACTTCTCAAGTTTTCATCCATATAAAGAAATTTAAGTTTTTGAAAGAAAAATGACAATTTGTGTTTATTTTGGTTGAAAATGAAAATTTTCAGAATATGAGAAATTCATGAAAACGATGGGTGAAGTTTTCTTTTACTCTTTTTGCATATAACATGATTTATTTTAGTCTAGAATGCGTGTTTTTTGTTATTCCTCGGTATAATTATGACATTTTCTTAGCTTGTTAATCGCTAGCCAACTCTTAAAAAATCCCATTTGAAAACAAAATAGACATAACAAATATGAGTTCTAAAATTCTTTTTACGGCATATTGTAGTATTTTTATTGAAGAGCTATTGAGACTTAAATTTGAAAAATACATGATTAGTCTTAACTGCAGTACTGCACTAATAGTTATAATCTCAAACAAATTATAAGAACTTGATGCGTACATTTTAAAGTGGAGTTTAGTACGTACTTCGTACTACGTAGTATATACGGAGTATGTATCATTTTATTTACTTTTTAAATAGAGCGCACCTTAGATGAACTACACAAAAAGGACAACATATGCTATTGGATGCAATCCATAAGCGTGTCAAGTCAAACCCGAAAATATTTTTTGGGATGAGAGTAGTACTTTTTAGTCACTAGTCATATTTTTGTAAATAATCATTATTTTGGTCATATATGTAATTATTTCTTATAATTATTAACGGATCGTATAATTGATCACTGTTTTCCGGCATTGACTGAGTTGACCCACCGATCATGTGGCCAAGTCGCTTCCTGCTCTGATTTTTTAAACATAGGTTAGAGAAGCTAAGGACGCCTATTCTTGTCGTATAATAAATCAAATACTCCGTAGTTCAATATTTTTGTCATTAGCATTGAATATTAATTTTAATCGTGTGAAGCCCAAAAATAGAATTACTTTCAAAAGCCGTTTGGCAATCATGTTTTCGGTTTATCCGGCTTTTCGGCTAACTATTCCACCAAACACGCAACTTTTGATTTGATGCGCTGAATTGTGTAATAATAAGAAAAAGTAAGGTTCGAGTTATTTTCTAGTTGTATTGGCTGAAGTTATGATGACAACTATTTTAGCAATTTTTACATATAATTTTTTATTTATTTTATTAATAAAATATGTTTTAAATATAATATTTTCTGAAATCAACAGAATAAGTCAATCCATCCACTTCAGTCAAAACTTCATAAATTTCAGCAGAATCAAAGAATTCAACCAATTATTTTTGTATTAACAAAACGACCTCCAAATAGTGGAATAGGGTTGAAATTTCATTATTAGATGACCACTCTTTTACCTGGTGACATACGTGCAAATTTTGTGGACTCCATAAATCATGATTACCATATATGAACGATGATTATCAATGGAGAAGTCTTAGCTTCTAATTCGGTTTTAGGAAATACGATTTTTTACAAACAATTAAATTATGTTTCCTAATTGTTATTCAGTTTTAGTCTATCCCAGAATTGAATTCCTATTCCTATAGTTATATACGGATTACGGAGTATGTTTCCTAATTGAGTATGCATGGAATTCAACTTCATGCAGGATATGTCAGTTTTCCATTACTGCCACATACATATATTATACATTATAAATACATATACTCGGTACATCCGCTAGCCATAATAATAAGGATTTACAGGTTCTCTAATATACTATTTGTGTAATTAGCAGATCTTTTATTTTCCTGCATCTTAAAATCCCCACTTCTAAAAGATCCATGGAGCCTGGAAGAAGAAGAAGCTTAAGGAGGAGGCCTAATAAGATTGAGAAAGTCCTAAGAGATGGTAACAATGATGGCTATAGCACTCCATTCTTGCCCAATGATATGATCTTGGAAATTCTCAAAAGGCTTCCTGCCAAGTCTCTTATGAGATTCAAGTGTGTTTCTAAAGGATGGCTCAATATGATTCTCCATCCTTTCCTCATAGAATCTCACCAAAACCACGCCCGAACCCGCCTCGATGCCTCTCACCGCTTGTTTGCCTATGATCAGTGTGATAAGCTCTTATTATCTTACCATTACCATGATCACCCAGATCTTCTTATCCACACAATCTTCTCCACAAAAAAGAATCGTGAGTTTCAAAGAATCTCCAACATTGCCAACGGTCTTATTTGTGTTTACATTTACGACATCGGTTGTCGGGGAAAACGATCTCTTTGGTTGATAAACCTTGCCACAATGCAAAAGAGATCTCTCCCAATCCCAAGCTTGTGCTGCTCACAAACAAGCATCTATTTTCTTGGGTTTGATTCATCCTCCAAAAACTACAAAGTTCTTCATTTTTGTCACGGGAAAGAATATCATCATGATTATCATTGTCAGGTTCTCACTTTGGGAAGACGGAGATGGAGGCGAGTCGTCGGGCCAAATCCTGGTAAAGAACTTGTAGCGGATGAGGCTATGTCCACGGATGGAAGAATATATTTTAAGATGGGAAATAAAGATCTTCATGTCCTGCCATTTTTTGACTTGCATACGGAAAAGTTTGAACATCTTTCTGTTCCAGAAGCCTCTATTCATCGAGAAGGTCCTGTGGGATGGCACTACGACGACCCTTATTATTATCAAGACATTTTAGAGATTAGAGGAAAGTTGGGACTCATCCGTGAATTGAAAGTTTGGATTTTGGAGGAGACCGGTTGGATTGAAAAGAGCATAATCCTTCCGAATCACGTTTATAACGCTACAACTGTTGGTCATGAAAGCAATAGCAAGATTATCCTTAAGTCTTCTCAAGGGATCTCGTACTACCTCTATGATTTGGACACACCCGAGTGTAGAGAAGCTCCAGGAATCACTATGCACGATTTCAACTTTAGGAATTACTTATTGGGTTCAAATCTTTCTTCAGATGTTTGTAGCACAAAATTCTTCAACTATATTGAAAATATTACAACATTGTGAATTATTCAATTCCCATCATCTGTCCTATATTATTTTTCAATGAAACATTTTTTGGATTCCCGCTTCTCGTGGATTAAAAAGAAGTGAGTTTTTTTCCAACTAGAACAAGTAAACTATCACGGGCAATTAGCTAGTTAGGATGTTTTCTTTTGGACTGTTTTCAGTCCCAGACCAGACCAGACCAGACTTAAACAGACCAGACCAGACCAGACCAGACTTAAACAGACCAGACCAGACCAGACCAGACTTAAACAGACTAGACCAGACCAGACCAGACTTCCGTAGTTATAAAATACACAGAGACCAGACGTTTACCAGACCAGACCAGACCAGTTCAGACCAGACCAGACCAGACCAGACTTAAACAGACCAGACCAGACCAGACCAGACTTAAACAGACCAGACCAGACCAGACCAGCAAATTTCAGTCCAAAAGAAAACATCCTTACTATTGATTAAACTAGTTCCTGTTTTAGATAGAAATAAAAAAATGGGAAAAGTTCGCAATCATACAAGCAAGCCATTTAGATTTATTAAAAGATGCGATCCTCTTCAATCTTGGTGCAAAATAAATCGGTATTTAATTATATATATGTATATAACATTTAAATTTGACGTCTTTGTGCTTACTAATGCTTCTAAAAATGATATTATTCTAATGATCGATTATAATATAGAAGTAGTTTAATACTTACAATAAAAGTAGGTAGTACGGTAAATTGAAGAAGATTTTTTGTTTTTTTTTGAGAGATATAGAGGAGATTTAGTTTGTAAAGTAAAAATTGGTGAATCTAATGAAAATAATAATCGTGAGTTAAAATTGGGTGAAACTACCGTGAAAGGTTTTCGGGAGTATGTGATGTACTTGTTTGATCAGAAACAATATTATGTTTAGGGCTGCCAAAACTTTGAATAATTATTATTTGGTGAAAAATGAGAAGCGGTTAAGAGCACACTCATGAGTCATGACCATTTGTTAAGGACTTAAGGCACGTTTCCTTTTATATATGTTGACTATAAGGCTTGTATATATTTAAGTGGGAAATCTAGTTGACTACTTGACTGATTTTGAGGAGGCTTGTATATATTTAGTCGAGTTTTTTACAAAAATATTACTAAAATAAAACTTATTTACATAAATATGACTATTCATTACTACTCCGTACAACGTAGTGTTGTGGTAACTTAAGTTCAAAACATGAACATGAATTACTATGATTTCATTATTACTTTACTTTAGTAACTAGTCATATTTTTGTAAATCATCTTTATTTTGATCATATTTATGTAATTATTTCTGATTTATTTTGGTATTGTCTTTGTTCTTATTTTGTGTCTTAAATTTGACTAGTTTGTTTTACTAAAAGTTGTTTTATTTTTTTTGATAGTAATTTACTCCCTTCGTTTCTATTTGTTTGACACACTTTCCTTTTTTTGGACGTTTCAAAATGAATGTCACACTTCTTTATTTCCTTATTTGGTAATCAAATCTTTACCTAAACAGTGCCAAACAGTGTTCAAACAGTGCCAAACAGTGTTCAAACAGTGCCAAACAGTGTTCAAACAGTGCCAAACAGTGTTCAAACAGTGCCAAACAATGTTCAAACAGTGCCAAACAATGTACTCTACAATAAAATTTACCCCTCAATAACTTTTTTTTCTTAAATCTTGACAAGTCAAACTATGTCAAAGAAATAGAAACGGAGGTAGTAATATTTTACGAAAAGATTAAATAGTAAGGGAATGTACAAAATAAGGAAATGTTTACTAAATTAATTAATATAGCATGCAATTTAATTATTTTATTGAACTTGAATTAAAAAGCTCAATTTATTTAAGATAAAATGTACCATTACAAATAGGGTTGGACTGGGCCGGGTTCGGGCCCGGGCCGGGACTAGGCGGGCTCCGAGCCCAAAAGCATCTGGCCTGATACTGGTCCGGGTTTGTACCGAGACCGGGCCGGGGCCGAACATTAAATATTTATTTATTTTTAATTTTGTCTTTTCGAATTAATGCCAACCCCCAAACTCCCTAAATCACCCAACGGCCAACGTAACCCCACCCACCTAGCAGCTAGCCCAATGGGAAAAAATAAAAAAATAAAAATTAATTGGGCCCGACCCGACCGGTCCTCCAAATGTTGATTCCGCAGCCCGCCTATTCACCCCTCGGGTCAGGGCCCGGTCCCGGCTCACCGGGCCGGGCTAGGCCTACACAGTATCGGTCCGGGTCCCGGGTCGGGCCGACCCGTCCTATTCTTCCCCTAATTACAAATAGGTAACTACCTCTTTGTACATAATAAAAATATTTTTACTTTGCTCCTATTTTTTAGAATTGATTTATTTTAGAGATTATATAAAAAGTGAATAATTGTATTTAGCCGAAGAGTAATTTTGTGGCCCTTACCTTTAGTTTATTAATTTTTTATTGTTTGAGTAGAAGTGTGATATTTAAGTAAAAAGTTGATTATCTATTTTTAATTTTAAAGTAAAAAGCTTATTTTCAATTTACTATGATATTTTAAAGTAAGCATTCTCAAACATTCCTTAAGTTTAATTATCAAGAACCAACCCTAAACTTTGAGATGCAAACACGAACATCTGAACCCAAGATTAATTATCACACTAAATTTGCATCCGCTTTTTCATTTTTTTTGTTAGCACCAGGTGATCTTGACTTCGCCAGACTAATCTTGGACTTGCAAGAATTAAACCAAACTCTACATCTATACAAGAAATTAGAGAGAATTCCCTAAATAGAAGTAAAAATGTTTTGAAATTTCAGGACTATCATGTTTTTTATTCCCTGAATAGGAGTAAATTTCTGCCAAATTTAGCATTGTAGGCTCTAAACATGACATTTTTTTTCAAACTTGGCAACTTACTCTTATTCAGGGAACAAAAAACATGATAGTCATATTTTGAAATTTCAAAACGTTTTTACTCCTATTTAGGACAATTTCTTAAGAAATTACTCTAAATCTTAACTGATTGATTGCACATATGCTCAAATCCAGCATAGCTCCCGACCCTCACACTATCACTTGAAGCCATACGAAGCATTGATTGCACGACTTGGATTCAAGTTTTTCCCTAAAAGGAAGATCTTAAGTGCTGCCCACCAAATGTTGATCGAGTGTGCATGCTGAGTGAGGGACCTCAAGGTCAGTGGATCTAAAATATAACATCTGTCTAGATTGACAAAATAGGATTGTGTTTCATAATTTATTTATTATAATTATCAACTCAAATTCATTTTCTAATGTTATATTATCTAATTTGTCTTTTCAGATTTAGTATGGTAGATTGGTAGATCTGTTGATATATCTCAACAACATTTCAAATACTAAATTATTTAAAACCTAGCATAAACTTTTTAACCGTGGGAGTGGGACAGTATATACTTGTATGAAAGTAATGTTAGCTTACTATATAAAGAGTCCCCTATATGTATACTCAAATGCAGCAACATTTATCATAATGCACAAACGCGCACAAAATGCAAGTCTGTAGGTGTAGGAGAGAGCAAGATAGAGCGAGACGCGAAGTAGTCACAAGATAACAAAAAATGCCCAGTGATGACCCAAATCGCAAAACATCAGGTCACAGATACCTTGAGAGAGCAAATTAGTTCACTCTAATCTCACTGCCACCGTTCGAATCGCTCTCTCCCAAAGAACAACAATAAATAATCGCTACTTTTGTTGAAAAAATTGAAAACATCTGCAGCATCAAGTAAGAGCAATGGAAGCATTGCAAACTATGAGTGGCACATATATGAACCCTAATGTTATTGCCCATATACTTGAAAAAGAATGTGGAGTAATAGTTACGTGTCCAACCATACATAGCTTATAAATAGTACAGTATAATTTATCAAGCATGTGAAGATTCTTTACAATAATTAATTGGATACAGTCCATTAATTCCCATTCAAAACACTCATACCCCACCCCCACCCCATCCCCCCAAAAGGGGGGAAACGTAAAATTATTAATTAAAAAAATTAAAAATTAAAATAAGAGGAATAATAAGTTATTGTTACCAGAATCCCATAACTACACAACCAAAGACCGAGTGGATGCGTTTGTGAATCACCCAGGTTCTGGCAGTCTGGCCCCTCTATGAAATGGCCGCCTCTTGTTTAAATTCTACAGCCCATGAATTTCATCAAAAGTTCAATGCTTAACCCAACTTAGCGATTAGGAGTGAGTAGGCCACATGAATCCACCACACAAAGGTAGATCCATCCAAATCTGAATCCACTAGACATACAAATACTTGTACAAAAAGCAAGGAGCTGAAGTCATACTGGTTCCACTGATGGGATGATAAAGTTGAAAAGGGTGCTGTCACCATCCAGTTCCCAGTAATCATCTCCATTAAGCAAGTGTGGTCCATCGGCTTGATTCTTATTATTATACAGCAAATGCCATTCCAATTAGTACATCACAACCTACTCCAAACGTTGTTTCATAGATCTCAAACCAGTTAGTTACATAGAGCCAAAACTCAAATTTTCCCACTTGAAATGAGAATGTGTCCCAATTTGTGGGGCACCTCGAAATAAGACACAGACACATGCACACACAGCAGCAATAGCAAGTATCGAATGGATGTAGGGGCGATAAAGTAATACTGGTGAGCCTCGGATTGGCCTGCTATGTTTCATTGCAGCACTTGTACACATTGAACATGATTTAGGTCTTCGGTCAACTGGGAAAATCGGTTTATGGTCCTCTCTCACCTTCAAAGACATATGATCACCCTCTATGGATACAGATATATGACCATTTTCCCCGCAAGCAAGCTTCTGTGTCACAAGTTTATTATAGGACTGGAAATTCCTCATTAAAGCATATGCACTGGGAGAGAGTCCACTTTCATCAACTAGGGTATTCCAGCATTGTAGCCCAATCTAGATAGAAGAGGGAAGACAAAATAAAATATTTTAGCAAAAAATAATAATCTGAATAAGCTACTTAAAATAGTCATAGACACCACATCCAGTTAGGACCTTAGTGGTTCCATCAACATAGAACACATTTTCGCTGACACTTTTAGTACTAGTCAGGCACAAAAGTATCACTGTGACAGCAGTTGGATGACCAAATAGTTATAGGACTAAAAATGAAAATTATCAAACTGTTACCAAAAGGTGTCTGGGGCCTAAAAATGCAAAAAGTTCAAAGAAGGGTTAATGACAAAATAATGAAAAAAGACATGAAAATCAATTATTTTAAGGGGAACTAGTCCAATATACCTTTTCTGGGTCACTTGTCAAGGCATCAACGATGTCATGTGAATTTGCTACACAAGCTGCTAGATGCAGAGGTGTAACACCACCAGGCCCCGGAGTATTTGGTGGGAAGATATACTTCTTAAAGTTATCATCAGGCACAGATATGGAGAAATTGATAAGCAAATCAACCATGTCCTTGCAATTTCTTCTAACAGCCCTGCTCAAAAGTTGGATTTCTAATAGCATCTCTAGAGATTCACTTGCTAGCCCATCCGTAGCAAAGTTAACTTCCAGAAGAATGTCTAGAAGAGCTTTCACCAATGCACAAAAATCATGCTCAACAGAGAATATTAATAAAAATTTGAATCGGACAACTCTGACATCTGGACTGCCAAACATGGAGTTTCGTTTTCTTTGAAATAACCATCCAAGCTCATTCAAGTAATGTACTACTTCCTTAGACCTAGCCTTTTCAAAACACTGGTTTCCACTACCAAGTGCAGCAGCATCAATAATATCAGATTCAAGACACCTCAACTCTTCGCACACAGCTTTGTCAGCTACAATAACAGGGAAACTAGTGCTTCTGATGCCATCCTCAACCTGTACAAGGATACACTTCAGAAACTTTTATCATCACATAATCTGGTTAAATTGAACAGTAGAACTACCTCAATGAAAAAGCGACCTAGTATACTAGAAGGCATGCAATTTATCATAAAATTGCCAAGGATAATCTCCTCACAGGCACCGCCCTGCCATTTTGTCGTTGAACCCCAGCTTATTCTGTCCCTGCCTGTGTATGTGCAATTAATCCTGCAAAGATAGAAAAAGGAACTTATATCGGCAGGAAGGAGAACGGGTCACGTGGAAAACTTGTTTATTTGTGTGCAGTCTACATACTTGGTGCTAGGGAGATTCAAATTTACCCCCTTGAGCGTGAGAGATATCTCCTGCCCAACAACCACCGCCAAAGGGGAGACACATATCAACTTTGGTGATCGCCATACTCTCCTGTATTTGCGTCCACGTATGTACCCTGAGAAGTTAATACCATTGATGAAATTAGAGAAAGATCATTCAGCATGGAGGTAAACCTGAATTCTAGGGTTTAAGAATGGAGTAATGATATTAATATATTTGATTTCCACCTATTTTTAAGAGCAATGCATTTTAAAAAAACCTAGGAAATCAAACATCCAGCATCAGATAAGTAAAAGATCATTGCCTAGATTGGACAACCAGAAAAGGTAAAATACTAACCATCTTTATGTGAAGCCCATTGCTTTTCAGTTCTAACTAAAAATCTTCCACTCCCCCAAAATTGAGGATGAACATCTTTAACCAATGCATTAACGTATTGGAAGAAATTTTCTTCTAGCTGCAAAACAAAGGTCCCAGCAGGAAATAGAACTCAATAGTTATTGAAAAATGACATAGTAAATGGTAATAGAATACTTTCCAGCACTTCACTCACATGTTCCCACAGAGAAGATGGCATTGACAAATAAAGTGACAAAACTATGCAACCAGGCTTAATGTGACTTTCCATTTCTGAAGGGATATTCGAGAGCCAGTGGTAGATCTGAAAAAGCAAGGGGCGAAAGAATAACTGAGTGCTGTTGAGTATTACTTCATAATCAACGATGAGAAAAAATAGGCCCAACTTCACACCTGTGCTCGCAGAGTCTCTGGCAAGTGGCTGGGATCTTTGTCAAACAATTTGAACATTATGCATCCAGTACGATCCTAGTTGAATAGAAAAGTCAAATTCAGTCCCTAGACTGTTAACTGGAGCACTTCGTGCACAAGAAAATAAAATAAGTATATGAATACCTGAGTCCTAGAGTTCAAACTATAAGGTGAATGATCAGATCCAGACGAAGATGTGTAGCCTGTCCTATGCGGAGAACTTTGAATTGAGTAACTGTCTGCACCAGTTATCAGACCTCCAAAAAGCTGAAAAGGCATGATGGAACCATTTGTTTTAGCTTCTTTAATGTTTCTATTCTCCTCCAAGCAGGAAAAAGTCTTCTCAGGCTTCCTTGATACTCTTGAGTCCTGCACAGGCAATAGTTTCTGCACAACCGGCGGTGAAGATGAAGGAGATCTCCCTGCGGAAGGATTACTGCTCTCAGAAGATAAACACTTCCCACCAACTGGAGGCGTGTGTGGGAAATCTTCTTCAATCGGGGAAGTAAAAAGCTGTAGTGGTAACATAGGGTGAGTCTCTTGAATATTTGACTCTAGGTCCTCCTGAGATTGAAAACTTGTGCTACTTTTCTCTCCTCCGGTAGATGAAATCTCTAGAGGTGGTCTTCTTTGCAAATTTATATGGGAATCATATCCAATACATGCTGATTTACTTCTGTCAGAGTCACTTGTGTGGCTGCTCCTTTGGGAGTGAACATCAACTACATCAGATGCAGCAGCAGCACCTGAAGCTGCAGATAGTGCAGCAAGAAGGTCCCGAGTGGAAGGAGATGGCGTACTCTCTATCGCTTTGCACTGTGAAGGGAATTGATTTGTGTTGGTCCCATTTATGCTTCCAGGAATGGGCAATTTGTTAGCCACATTAGTTGGTAATGGCAGTGAATTAACTTTATTGAGAGCTTGAATCAGCTGGTCTTTATCAGTGGCCAGAGATGGGAAATTAGTGCTCCTATTTTCAATGTTACCTAGAAAGATGTGCAAGTCAATTCTTGTAAGTAGTCCCTTCCAAGTAAAATATGCATAAACGGAAATAGAATGTGAAGTACGATGATGAAGGAAGTTAACTATACCTTGTGCAGAGGCTAGAACTGCGAGCAAATTGACTAAGTTCAAGTCACGATTACCAGAAATATCATTGCTTCCTGGAAGCAGTGGTCGTGATGTTGTGTCCTCTGGCTGAGTTTTTCTCCTCCTCTTGTTATGCCCAGCAAGTCTACGCCTACAACTCCTCTTACCCTCATCGAATTCTGAAAGAGGATGAAACCTGAAAAAAACCAATACAGTTACTTCACCTTATCTGCAATGGTGCGACTTAGCACAACAAAGTTACAAGAAATGCAAAAGTAAAAGAGTATCCAAGAAATACTAAATGTTCCACACATTATGGACCGACCTGCTGCATTGCTGGCAAAACCGTTGCATCTGCTTCCCCACCAACACTTGGCTTGCTTTACTGTGAGCCTCACAAACCTTGTGACGTCGGTGGTAGTCCTTGCCATGTTTCAGATTTTCTTTGCAGTTATCAACTTGGCACATAGGATAATTAGGCTTGTTAGGAGATCGAGATCGAACTCTTTTTGTGGCACGCGAAGCCTCCTCCTCCTCCTCTTGTTCATCTCTGGGACTCAACCTGGAACCTCCTCCGAGGTTTAAGCTAAGAGCCTCATCATCATCAAATACACAGGCAGAAGGCTTGTCATTCAACAGCTCATCACCTCTTCTCCCTAATCCCAGCTGTCCATCAGATTCTCTTGGTTTGGCAACAAACCTGGCACTATCCCACTCCCAACCTTTGGGATTCCAGGTCTCAGGAGCCTTTTGGGTCGTCTGAAACGATGAAAGGCTGCGCTTGCTTGCAATTGAACGATGAGGCTCTCGCAACCCAACACTAGAAAGCTGTTGATGGTGGTGAATCAAGATTGGGGTAGCCACTCTTCCGCCCAAACCCTCCATTTTCTCAATCAATCAATAATCTTAACCTCAAAATCCTACCGTACAACAACCAGGTTCAAGTTTCACTGCTACAGATCAAAACCCCTAAAACTGGAAGCAAAAAAACAGTGAAATTGCATAACTAACAACAAATAATAAAATATACTCCTGCTTGAAAGTCATATTAAGCTTGTACACTGCACCAATCATACAACTGTACCTGCCATGACGGGGCTCATATTGGGATCTCCCAATTCGCCGGAGGAGAATCTCCGCAAGGGACAAAAAACCTTCCCAATCCTCTAGAACTAATAAAGTGTTGAAAACAACGCAATTAGATCTGAGAAGAAGATCACATGGAAGGAAGAAGGGACGGCACAGAAAAGTCTGCAGTTCTGCAGCCTATTACTTTATTGCTTTTTCTGTGCGATTTCCTCCTTCAACAGACTCATCGTTTTTTAATCCTTCCATCTTTTTTTGGGGTCTCTGTGTCGCTCTCTCAGCTATGGCAGCAGGCTGGCAAAAAATGGTAAATTAATGGAACGAAATCAGGAATTAGTTATGGATTAATGGTAAAAGCGATTTCTTTTTCAAAATTCGGATTAGACGAGGAGTTTTTTTTTTTTTTTTTTTGCGGAATTACGGCGTACTCGTTTTTGCCTTTGGCGGGTCCCGTTGAGCAGTTGCGCATGTAATAATGCATTTCATACAAGGAGTACTGTCGTATATACAGAGAGAGATGGATTCTCTCTTCTACCACAAGAGATTCCCCCGTGCCACATAAGCCATGATGTGGCAGTAATTTCAGTCATTTATGAGGTGAAAAATTTTAACTGCAAAAACTAATTAACGAGAAATTAGTTTGAAATGTGTATTTATAGACATCATGCTACAGTAGTTTTATGAGACATAATTGGTACATTCAATAACTCTAATCATGGGAGGACTCGTATAACGTCTCTCACAACTTCCGTAATTAATGTCTTCTTAATGTTCATGCTCTTCAGTTTAATTTCAGCCGCTTCCAGATAGCCATGTGTTCATAGATGGCTGTCATGTAGCCCTGGGGCGAGTCTCACCTCGCTGGAACCCCACCCAGACTCGAGACATGCTATCCAGATCGGCCTAGATGTTGGTGTTCCTTCACGGGCCATGATCCCCTATGTAAGCCCAGATGGCGTTATTTATTAATCCCGAGTAATGGGCTTTATTCATAGTTTTGATGTTGGGCTATGACCACGTCAACATATAATTACTTTAAATAGAAATTGGAGATTCTTTTGGGATGACTAAATTCATAGAGATTTGTGAGACAAAATTGACCGAGTATTTATTACTTTAAATAGTAATAAATACTCCTATCTCATAAAATATGATCAAAATTGACTTACATGTGGATTCATCATAAGAGCATCCTCAATGAAATAGCGTACCGTATTGAAGTATATCTTATGTTGTGACATAGGAGAGAGATAAAGACAAAATGATTAGATTAATTTAATAAAACGAATTTGGTGTATAGGGAAAAGTAAAAAGATGGTAAAGATAGAAATAAATTGTAGACAATATCTATGTCAATATCCATACATGAACTTTACACTGAATTCGAGGAGCAAAAGTAAATGAAAAGTCAGCTTATGTTGTTATAAATTGTAGACAATATCTATGTCAATGGCTATGGACGACGTACTACGTTTCATTTTAAACAGTTTATGTTGCTGGATAGTGCTCTCAGTTTACTTGTTGGCAGATTTTTGTGAGTATTATAATTGCTCATTGTTATCTAATGAAAAATATATTTAATGGTTATAGGAGGTTGTCGATTGAGGAAAATGAAAATAATGGTTTGGTATTTGAATCTGGCACCTTTGATATTGGCGGTGGAAGGGGAAAATCCACGTTTTTCTGTTGTAGCTAGGGTTGTCATGGAAAATCCACCTTTGATGTTGACGATGGCAATGATATGGCGTCCCGGAAAAGGAGTTAGTATTGAAGATTGGGGATATGTGCTTTTTTTTATCCGATTTTATCACGAGAGTGACATCTCTAGGGTGCTGCAAGATGGTCCATGTTCTTTCGATCAGAATCTAGTAAACTTTAAGAGGATTGAAGCGGCTGATAGACCATTAAAGGTGGAGTCGGATCATGCCGAGTTTTGGGTTCAAATTCCTAATCTGCCTCTGAGTTTCATGACTGAAAAAATGCCGATAGGCATTGGTCGTTACCTGGGACGACTGATTCCGATTGATAAGAGGACACTAAAGGGTGCCAACAAGGAGTATGTTCGCATCTGCGTTTCCATAAACATCAAGAATGCGTTGAAAAGAAGAACACAAATAAGAGAAGAGGGTGACAACTGGTTGTGGACAGACTTCAAGTATGAGAGACTTCTCAATCTTTTCTTCATCTGTGGGGTATTAGGCCATACTAATCGTTATTGCCCATCTGAAACCCGTTCGAGGCCATGGATTGGGGGGAAACCTTATGGTCCCTAGATGCGAGCAGATATACGACGTGGAGGGATTCACTTGGGTAACAAATGGGTCATCCCGTTTGGAGGAAGAGGATCCATGAGTGACAAGGAAGAAAGTGAGAAGGATAAGCCGCTGACGGGGAATCAAGATAAGAACCAAGGACTGGGTTTTACTTTGTTCTGGGTCTTATTTTCAAAGGAAAGAGAAAATGTGTACTGGGGAGGAGCAAGACCAGGGTGGAGCTATGAAGGAAGGAGAATCTATGAAAAGAAGAGCTTTGGATCTCCAGAATTTGGTGGAGGTTCAAGTCCATATGGAGGTTGATGGGGACGCTTAAAAAAACGGCTTAGCGGTGGCGCTTCCGGAACAACACCACTTGAAATATTGACTGATCCCGCACATGAGATGTTTCCTTTAGAGGTGGCTGGACACACCTCTTCTTCCTTCCCGGTGGCTGGTGAAACCGAAATGCTAAAATTATTATGTTGCTCTTCTTGAACAAATAATTATAGTCTTCTTAATTCTCATTTTAGTAGCAAGTAAAGCAGTGCTGTTAGATTAATTTACATAGTTGCAGATTAGCGAATATGGTGGGTCCCTGGTGGCTAGCCAATTTTATGTCTCATCCCAGATTACCAGAATAATTTTGAACTATTGTATTGCTTTACCTTTTGTTACTTTTATCATTAATAAATAAGTTTCTTTCTTCCAAATGACTAGACATTATCATTGGACAAACTCTAAATAAAAAATTGTGTGATTGAAATTTATGCTGATGAGATAAATGATTTTGACTTTAGATGGCAATAATAAAGTTTTGTAGGTTGCCTAAATAAAAAAGTTAGTAAAGTTTTGTGGGAAAGAGTGAGTGCTTCATAACTATTAAAAATTATTAGGGTATAATAATTAGAGTTGAGGCAATATAATATGAAAAAGAAGTGGGGAAAATAGAAAACTAGAAAAGAAGAAAGAAAAGTGGAAAGTAGAAAGAAAATGTAAAAGTGAAAAAATAGGAAAGAAAATGGGAAAAGTCAAGGTAAACAATTTTAAAAATGGAAATAGGTAAAACATTAGAAAAAATCTCAAACATGAATATATGCCTGGAAACTATTACAAAATGAGTTGATGTATATAGAATATAATTCATTGATATATGTGATAGAGATTCTGATTGTAAAAAATAAATTAAGTAATCCATTTTTTTTAAAAAAATGATTCGATTTATTATTATTATATTTCAATATTTCATCATTGAAAAACCTTTACTAGAGAGATTTCCATGCTTCATCAGGATAAGAAAGAAAAAAATGAATTATTGAAATTTGTGTAGAATATAGAGAAATAGTATGAATGCAAATTAATTATTTTAAATAGAAAATTATAAACTTAGAATAAAAAGAAAGTTGACAAACAAATGGTAGTTTTGAGTCTTTGACGGTAATCACATCACGAAAAGTAGTCTTTGGTTTAATTCAATTCTATTATAAATTGACGTCAATTACTACGTAGAAGATAAGTATAAGTGAATTATTACAACATTAATAATAAATGAATGATATGTAGCTAACAATTCTAATTTAATCAACGAAAACAGAAGTAATAAAAATTTGCACACGAGGTTGAATGCATTAAGCTCATGTTTACAAATCAAGTTTTGTTCCATCACGTAAATTTTAGAAATATAAAATAACTAAAATAACTTGTAATTGCATATATTTTACCTTACTTTCTTCATGATATTTGAAATTATTAGATGCATTATAAACTATGTTACTAGTGAGTAGGATGTAGTGATGTTTTTATATTTGTACATACAAACTCAATGTATTTTCTAGGTTTTGAAAGACCTGAAGTGTATGTCCTATTCTAGCTACTATAATGATGAACAACCTTCATTTCTATGACATATATAACAACGACTTTTATAAATGAAAATTGAAATTTTCTTTTATTCTATTAAGTGTTCGCTTACCTAAGTTTGAGCAGCTTTGATGTTTGGAGTGATTAGAATTACAAATAAATTTTGAATACTTGTTTTGAATTTTGGACGTTTTTATGTGGTACAAGCTAAACTATGTGTTAGTTCTTAGTCAAAAAAATGTATTCTAGAAACCGATAAAAGCAATAACCGAACCGTTTAGTATTGTTCGGTTCCATAACGGTTCTTAATTTTTTTATATGTGAACTGAACTCAATAGTGATGAAAATATCTTTGAAGAGAAATGTGAATATTTTGAGGACAATACTTCAAAATTTCGGCCGATAATGATTCAACATTATGAATAGACTAAAATATATTGATATTTAATATATAAACACCTCAGTCCATTACATATTTATCATTCAATCCTTGGACCAATTTCTACCTTTTATATTTGTTATTTCTATGTTGTGGTGTTTTTGCGGCATGGAATCTCACTTCTTGTAACCATTGGTGTTTGAATATTCATTATTTATATTTTCATAATCTTTTACTTTACAAGTAATGTAATTTTGGTACGATAAAAAAAAGTATTGTAATTTTGGTTAGTATGAGCGTTTAAAACTAAGTTCTTTAAACCAAGTCAATATATTATGATTTATTACTTTTAAGTTTAACTATCCCAATATGTTAGTGATGAGTTTATTGCCCTATACCTCAGGGGTATCAACATTTATGCTAAGAAATTTCCGGGATCCACTAAGGCAACTGCGGCCAAGGCCGAGATCAAGACCAGTTCTCAGATCATCAAGACAAGTCCAAAACTATAGACGTCACCGAGGTAGACCCTCTTCCGAGGTTGGTGGCATTTCCAGAATTATGGCCGAGCCCAAGGCCAATTCCGGCATTTTGAGGTCTGGGATAACAAAGACAGTTTCACTTATCTCTATGAACCGAGGTTCCTCGACTTCAAGCCAAGCACTTTTACCCAAGCTAGGCATCTATGTACTTAGACCGAGCTCATGACCTCAGGTGATGATTGTGGACTTAAACGTTTTAACATTAAGATCTCACAATGATCAGGATCATGTCACCCTGTCGTGACAGCTATCTTGGGGCTG